AATGATAGGGTCTCCTCTCATCTTTCAAAAGGACCAAGACGACCAGTTTCTGGAGGAAGAGAGGGACAGAGTCCTGACCGGGTTTGTGGTTCTCATTCAGAAGTGGGTCCGCGGCTACTTCCAACGCAAGCGCTACAGAGCCATGAAGGGTGCAGTGGTCGTGTTCCAGAAGAACTACAGACGGCACTACTGGCAGAGACGATACCGCATCGTGAGTTGTTGAATACGAACGTTTGGAGCGAGATGGAGGGAAAGACGAAATTATAGGAGAAAAGATGAAAGATTGGAGCGAGATAGAGGGGAAATAACAAAATGTGAAGGTTTAACTGTACTACAAAAGTTGGTTTATGGTCCCACAGATGAAGAAAGGGTTCACTCGCCTGCAAGCCACGTGGCGGGCCCGACGACTGGCGCAGAGATACAGACTGATGAGACTGAGGGTCAGGGGCTTCCAGCGCTACTGTCGCGGCTTTGTTGCCCGGCGCAGGTTCCGAAGACGGCTCACCAGCATTATGAAACTACAGGCCCTCTTCCGAATGATCATGGCCAAGAGAAGAGTAAGCCCTTCTGCGGCCCTCTATCATTGCAAACTGGTTCACTCATGTGACTTTAACAATTCTGCTTGTGCCTCAGGTGAAGCTGTTGAGGATAGAGAAGATGAAGAAAGACGAGGCTGAGAGGTTCCGTCGCGAGGAGGAGGAGCGACTGGGGCGGAAGATGAGGGAGGCAGAGGCCAAGAAAGAGGCAGAGAGACTGCATCAGGAGAGACTCAAGCAGATCGAGGAGGAGAGGAAGAGGGAAGAGGAGAGGATAGAGAAAGAGGCACGGTCGAGGGCCGCAGAGACTCGCAGGAATGAGGAGCAGGCAATACGCCGACGAGACATGCCCGTTGAGGACTCAAAGGTCGTCGAGGAGATGTTTGGTTTCCTTGGCGACCAGCAGCACGGAGACTATGACCCTTGTGAGTTGTGACACCTACATGTCTTGAAAAAATTATTCTGAAACTTAGTTCAGCTTTTTTCTAGCTTCTTACAATACATCATCAACCTATAACCAACCTCATTGTGAATAGAGTTTCCATTCCTCCATATTGCTCCCAGCTCTAGGTCGCATTCCAGTACCAGAGGCTGAGGAGGACCTGACGGAGTACAGGTTCCCCAAATTTGCAGCCACGTATTTCCAGGGCCAGGCGACCCACTCTTACCTTCGCCGAGCTCTCAAACAACCTCTCCTGGCTCTCAAGAACGAGCAAGACAAACTGGTTTGTGAAACTAGTTTTGTACCCGCACGCAGATATGGAAAAGTGTAAACTTCATCTCCCTTTCGTTTTTTTCTCAGGCTGCGTTGGATATCTGGGTGATGATCCTGAGGTTCATGGGTGACATGCCAGAGCCAAAACCGCTCGCCTCGTCAGAGAAAGAAGGACTGGCCAAGAAGGCTTTTGGGTCCATCAGCAAAAAGTTCTATGGTTCAAAGATCGCTGAGGAGCTGCAGCAGCAGGTGGGCTGTATGTAACACTGCAATGATGTAGTGGGTTAGTTTAGGCTAACGTTTTCTTAAACTCTCAGGCCTTATATTATATGCATGCATATGTAAATCAATTTCCCAACTGCAGACAAGTCGAGAGGAGAGGAAGAAGGAGAGTCTGAGGAAGAGGATTGCGTCCATGACGCTCAAGAAAAAGTCAAAGTTTTCGTCTGACATGGTGGAGGCGATCCAGGGAGATGGTTCGGGAGAGAGCTCCGTCGCTCTCGAGAGGCCCACCACCAACCTCGAGAAACTCCACTTCATCATCGGATACGGGATCCTGAGGCCTGAACTCAGGTGAGGGTCTTGTTATTCTATGTATATCCCCTCATCAAAATCATGAGTTCCCAAGCCCCTATCCCAATGTTCCAATCCCCATACTCCCATACCTGCTCCACAGGGACGAGATCTACAGTCAGATCTGCAAGCAGTTGACGCAGAATCCGTCCAAATCGTCTCACGCCAGAGGCTGGGTGCTCCTCTCTCTCTGTGTTGGCTGCTTCGCTCCAAGCAGCAGACTCATCAAATACCTCAGGTATTATTATAGCTACACAACAGAGTCCAGTATACTGTTAAAAATTAAAATCTCTGTTCTGTAGGTGTTTCATAACCGAGGGTCCTCCAGGATATGCCCCCTACTGCGAGGAAAGACTTCGAAGAACTCAGGCAAACAACACACGCCATCAGCCACCCTCTTGGCTGGAGCTACAGGTACCTCGGTGGTGATAGTGGGGAAAAAATAAAACATCGCACCTGGCTGGGCTTGAACCAGCAACCTTTCGGTTAACAGCCGAACGCGCTAACCGATTGCGCCACAAGTGCTCACAGCAAACACTTCTATCAAACCTCACATTGTTCGTCTATCTCTATCTCTCGCACTCTGCAGGCTACAAAGTCGAAGAAACCTCTGATGCTGCCAATCACGTTCATGGACGGGAACACCAAGACCCTCCTTGCTGACTCGGCAACCACTGCCAGGGAACTGTGCACGCAACTCTCGGAGAAGATTGGACTCAAAGATCCATTCGGTTTCTCTCTCTACATTGCTCTCTTTGACAAGGTGATTAGTTTGTAACGTTGGATAAATCACATTAATTCTTTCTCCATCTCGCTGTATTGAGTCAATCGCTCTCTCCTTCTTGTTCAGGTGTCCTCACTTGGCAGTGGAAACGACCATGTGATGGACGCCATATCACAGTGCGAGCAATACGCCAAGGAGATGGGTGCCCAAGAGAGAAATGCTCCATGGAGGCTCTTCTTCCGTAAGGAGATCTTCACTCCCTGGCACAACCCCAGAGACGATCCCGTGGGTACACACCTCATCTACCAACAGGTAACCAACATTTTAGGCATTACGTCATAGTGATGTAATACATTCCAGATTGTACGAGGGATCAAGTTTGGTGAGTATCGTTGTGATCGAAATGAGGATCTCGCTGCGCTAGTGGCTCAGCAGTACTACATTGAGCACGGGACAGAGTTCGCCAAAGTGAGCCGCCGACTATGAATCTCATTTACCTGCCGTAAACCCACAACCTTTCCCCCAATGTTCAACCAACAGGACAAGGTGATACACATGCTTCCGTCCATCATCCCAGACTCTCTGCTGGCTGGATCCAGCAACGACAAGTGGGCGCAAATGGTGGCGACGTCATTAAAAAAGGTCTGCATACAGTCCACTCAATGAAGTTAGAGAGAAAGATTATTTATACAGGCTCCGTATGTGAAGAATCGAGTGGACGCAAGTCGTGTGAAGGAGGAGGTTGTCATGTACGCCAAGTTGAAATGGCCGCTGCTTTTTTCAAGGTTCTACGAAGCTTATCGGTCAGTTTCTCCTCCTCTCCTTCATTCAGTAGGCACTGGGGTGTTTCTTACTACACACACGGTATGTATAAACAGGTTTTCGGGACCGACGCTCCCGAAGAATGAGGTCATAATTGCAGTCAATTGGACTGGGGTTTACATAGTAGACGACCAGGAACACGTTCTCCTGGAGTGCTCATTCCCCGAGATCACAAGCTGCTCCAGCAGCAGGTACCGGAACCAGACACTGTTGCATATACACAGTAAAACATCTTAAAAGGACTCTTCTCTATAAAGGATACTCAGTTTTGCTCCATTATAATGTATACTAGTGCATAAAAGAAGCTCCATAATACATTAATATAGGTCGTCTGCCTACAAAAGACACTTGCTTTTGCCCCATATACTTACCAGTGCCTCCAAATACAGAATGTCTCTGAATATTCAATGTCCCCAAGTGTCTCTTATTCAAGAATGGGTCTGTGACTCCTCAGAACCAGTCGAGGCCAGGGACAGAGTTTCACACTCACAACCACCAAACAAGACGAATACACCTTCACCTCAATCAACGGAGAGGACATTCGCGACCTGGTGACCTTTTTCCTCGACGGTCTCCGGAAGAGGTCAAAGTACGTCGTCGCCATGATGGATTACACAAGTCCAGGTAACCAAGCAAACGTAGTGTATGAGCGCATCGGTAATGTCTTGCGTGATGTGAGAAAATTTGAACTGTTCACATTTTTGCTTGCCAAAATGCATTTGTTGTATTTCTCATGGCAGGTGAAGGCTCAGCGTTCCTCAGTTTTCAGAAAGGTGACCTGATTATCCTCGAGAGCGAAGACGGAGAAGATGTAATGAAAACTGGGTGGTCGGTCGGCAAATGTGAGAGGACGCACGCACGAGGGGATTTCCCTGCCGAGTGTGTATACGTCCTTCCGACCTTGACACGCCCACCAAACGATGTACTGGTGAGGAGTAATGTTGGGTGGTCATGTGAGCCTCGTGTGACAGTCATGTGACTAATCTCCCAGATGATGTTTGCTGAGCAGAGTCTGGAAGGCATAGAGAGGATCGGGCCACACAGACTGCTCTGCAGGTACGTGCAATCAATAAGTGCACAAAACCATTTAGAGCAGTGTAATATTTATCATTGCACACAAGCTCAAAATCGCAATATAAATAGAGCTCTGCATTATGTCCCCCCTTTCTCGGTCTGTGTGTATCTCCCAGGAGACGGAGGGGAGAGGAGGAGGAGATCTCGGAAAGCCGCACACACTCCAGCAGTTTGCTGTGGACCACTTCCGCCCTCCGCCAAAGAGGACCTCTCTCTCGCACGCTGGCCCGCGGAGGACTGCGAAAGAAGAACAGTGAACTCTGGGCCTTTGGAAGGGTATGCTTCACTCTCTCTTCCCTCTTCTTTCCCTCTTCTTTCCCTTCTCTCTCCCTCTCTCTCTCTCTCTCTCTCTCGTGTCAACCATGTGACAATGTATCCCCTCGGACAGGATCCAATAAAGCAGCCACTTCTCAAGAAGTTGCTCTCTCACAATGATGAACTCCAGCAGAAGGCAGTCACCGCATTCTTGGATATCCTTGCATACTCTTGCATTTCTTGTATACTCTTGTATACTCTAGTAAACTAGCAGTTTTGTCCTTGACGGCGGTGCACCGATGCTAAAGTACATGGGAGACTATCCGAGCAAGAAGCAGAGACTCAGCACTGAACTGACTGATGCTGTCTTTGAGCATGCACTTGTCCACGTAAGCCCTTCACTCCATCTCTCTTCTTCCCAACTTCCTATATCCCCATTCTCTCTTTATCTCTTCTCTGTTTCCCACAGGACCAGTTGAGGGACGAAACGTATTGCCAGTTGTTGAAACAGCTCACTGATAATCCCATGAAAACCAGTGAAGAGAGAGGCTGGGAACTTCTATGGATGGCCTCCGGTGAGCCAAAACATTTCAACTTCTCTCGTTCAAATTTTGCTTCTGTTGCAGGATTATTTCCCTGCAGTTCCACCCTCCAGAAGGAGGTCAACCTGTTCCTGAGGACTCGCGTGGCCCGACAGCCTCTGGCCACTGACATACAGCAACGCCTCTACAAAACCATCCAGTGAGCCCTGAAAAACATCTCCATTAAAACTCATTGCACTCAACTCAACTACCCCTCTACAGCACTGGCGCCCGGGCTACCCGCCTCATCTTGTCGAAGTCGACGCTATACAGAGCAAAACCACCCAAATCTTCCACAAGGTGTTTTTCCCCGACGAAGTGAGCCAGGCATTTGAGGTTGACTCCAGCACGAGATCCAAAGATTTCTGCTGCACGATTGCCGACAGGCTCGGCCTTGCCAATGCCGAGGGGTTCTCCCTGTTCGTTATGATCAGCGACAAAGTCATCAGTGTTCCGGAGAGTGATTTCTTCTTTGATTTTGTCCGTCACTTGACTGAATGGCTTCGCCGAACAAGAGCCAGAGATGGTGGGTGGGCACAACATACCCCACACTCGACAAGTCAAAACTTTGTGTGTTTTTCGACAACTACTAGCTATTACTTTATAATATAGTCGCTTTCTGTGTTAAATTTCCATGCTGCTAAAAATTCACCATCTCCACTATTTTTTTGCAGGGAACCCTCAAAGTTTTGCCTACCAGGTGTTCTTTATGAAGAAGCTATGGCTGAACACAGTGATTGGGCGAGACCGCAAGGCAGACGTCATGTTCCATTACCATCAGGAGCTGCCCAAGTACCTCCGCGGGTACCACAAGTGCTCCAAGGAGGAGGCTGCACTGCTCGGGGCCTACATCTACCGCATCAAACATGGAGACAGTCGCTCACACCTCTCGCAAATCAGGTGAGCATTAATTTTACTTCGTCTCAATATTTTTAGAAAACTGAACCAACACTTGAAGAACCTTCACTACCTTGAACTTACTGTTTTTTCATCATTGAAATGGCAAAAACTTAGCTCTAGAACACATTCCTTCACTTCGGTCACTACCACAGATCAATAAATTGTCTCTCTCTCTCCAGCCACATCCTGAAGGAGCTGGTGCCATTTGACCTCCAGAGAGCCTACACCCCGGACGACTGGAGAAAGGCCATCGCGTCCAAACTACGTCAAACATCAGAGCCGAAACGCTGCCGATTGCAAAATCGGATTCCTGAAATACATCTCAAAATGGCCGACTTTTGGTTCCGCCTTCTTTGAAGTGAAGGTGAGGTAGATGTCTGCACAGTGAGATAACAGCCTAATTTTCTTCTTTCCGTTCCTCTCTCTCTCCCTCTCCTCTCCTCTCTCTCTCTCTCCTCTCTCCTCTCCTCTCCCTCTCCTCTCTCTCTCTCCTCTCCTCTCTCCTCTCCTCTCCTCTCCCTCTCCTCTCTCCCTCTCTCTCTCCTCTCCTCTCCTCTCTCTCTCTCTCTCCCTCTCCTCTCCTCTCTCTCCCTCTCCTCTCTCCCTCTCTCTCTCTCCCTCTCTCTCTCCTCTCCTCTCCTCTCCTCTCTCTCCCTCTCCTCTCTCCCTCTCTCTCTCCTCTCCAGCAAACAACAGAGCCTAAGTTCCCCGAGATCCTAACCATTGCCATCAACAAACAGGGAGTCATGCTCATCAACCCTCGCACCAAGGTACATACAGCACTATATATGTACCTAGTCATGTGATCTCCACTACAAAGTCATGTGACCAATACAATGTCGTTGTCCAGTGTATTTTGTGTGTGGGTTGAGCATCCTCTTTACATGTATGTGGTGCATCAGATGTGTGCTTGCTGACTGCTCAGTGTGTTTGAAACAACATTTCTGCCACCCACACAATTTCAATCGCCCATTCCCCTGGTCCCAGGAAATCCTGGAGGTGTACCCGTTCACCAAGATCAGTAACTGGAGCTCGGGCAGTAACTATTTCCACATCACCATTGGCAACCTGGTACGCGGCAGCCGGTTCCTCTGCGAGACGTCTCTCGGGTACAAGATGGACGACCTCCTTACCTCCTACATCAGGTATTGTATTGCCTAGTGGAACCTTCAGAGGCAAAAGACTAAAAACTAAAATTAGTGTAAAATAAGAAGTATATGACTGCATTCTGCGCTGTTTCACCTACAAATAACTTTTGTGAGTTTGCAACTACACAGCAGTTGTGGAGACATGTTTCTTGTTCGTTTAGTTTGATGTTGGCAGCTCTCAACAAGGACCGTCGCCATGGTAGTGGCACAGGGGGAACACGAATGCCGATGGCGCCGGCTCCGCCTACCAGCAGGGGTCAAAGTTCAGGAGGCAGAGGTTACGCAGGCGGAGCCAAAGTTGTAAAAGACGCAAATAAATAGCCGGCAAACACTTATTTAGGCACTACTGGACAAACTATATCTAATTGTGTTCACATTATTAAGTTTGTTTTCTGTATAATGCTTACGTAAAAACATTACATGGTATATATATATATATACATGGTATTGTCAGGTACAAAGTGCACCAATAATTAGAGTTCACAACTAAAGCTAACTCACTATATACATGTGGTTTTCAAGTTCAGAGTTTATCAAGTTTTCAATCTCCAAGGGGTGTGGTCACAGACCTAGTTCCACCAGTCGTTGGCCCCGCCCCCGCCCCCTCCTCCTCCCCCTCCTCCGTAGTGATGATGGTGGTATCCTCCCCCTCCCCCTCCCCCTCCCCCTCCCCCTCCACGAGATTGGCGGTAGTCTTTCCCACCAAACCCACCACCTCCACCATACCTGCACACAAAACAGTAAAAAGTCTCTAATACAACTAAACATTTTCGCGACAAGTTGCATGAAGATTTGCGGACTTTCACAAGTAAATACTTTGGACCTAGCATGCTTGCCAACATAATTATGCGAAAGTTCATCTGTTGGGATGCTGGCCAAATGCAAGTTGTGGTACTGCACGTACCGTCTGCTGCCCTTGCTTCGGTGCATCTGCTTCACTTCATATGACAGACTCTCCATCCACGAGGGGACCTCCTGTTCAGAGAGAGGGGAGGGAGGGAGGAGGTAGAGCTAGAAACACCCACAGCAGTGCCTAAAACTACCTCAAAGCCTCCTAACAAAGGACAACTCTCTGTAACCAATACTTGTTTCTGCCCCATACTCAATACCTCCGAATCATCTCTGAATAAAGGGTGTCCTCAGGGTCAGAGGTTCCACTGTATGTAGTATATACATTGTACATGTATGTACCTGTTTGGTCTCAGTCAGGAGAGTGAGAAGATCGCGACAGATGTTCCTGTTCTTCTCGTTGAAGAAGGAGGTGGCCAGACCCAGGTTCCCGACACGCCCAGTTCGCCCAATCCTGCAGCAATGTCGCAGCGAGAGAGACGAGAGAGGAAACAAATGAAGCATTCTTCGGTGTTTTCGCAACACACACTCCATGTGGTACCAATACAAGCTGCACGAGTCTTGTTGTTTTACACGACAAAGTTTCACGATAATAATAGTTGATTTTGACTTTAGACCCACCTGTGCACATACTCTTCAACGTCGCTGGGGATGTCGAAATTTATGACGTGCTTCACGTGGGGGATGTCGAGGCCGCGGGCAGCAACTGCCGTGGCAACCAGGAGAGGAGTCCGTCCCGTCTTGAAACTGTGCAGTGCAGTTTCCCGATCGGCTTGACTACGGTCACCATGGATACAAGTCACGGGGTAACCCTGTGAAACGAGTCAAAAATGAAACTTTGTATTCAGTCATCAAAAATAAGCACATACACCTCTAATATAGCCACTTTCTTTGTCTAGTTAGTATCCAGATTACAGGGGTTCAATACCTGAGAATATAGGAAGTCGTCGAGCGCGTCACATCCTCTTTTGGTCTCCACAAATATGAGAGTCAGAGCATCCGGAGCTGAGAGAAGAGAGAGAGAGAGAGGACTACTGTATGTGGTAGTAGAGAGCTACTGTATGTGGTAGTACGCGCATATGATGTTTAAGTTTATTCCTGCACCTACATTTGTACAGGGAGCACACATAATTTTTGGTGGATTCACGGGAAGAAATGTACAGTTTGCTCCTGGCACAGTACAGTATTGTGATTGAGCATTGGAAGAAAGAGAGAGAAGAGAGACCCACCAGCTGCCTGCAGGAGATCGAGAAGGAACGATCGCTTGTCCATCTCCTCCACCCACACAACCTTCTGTGTGATGTTCTCACTCGTGGAGCCAACCCTCCCCACCGCCAGGAAGATGTAGTTGTCCAGGAAATCCCTCGCCAGAATCTGGAGAAGATAGAATAAAGAGTTTGGAGCAAGATCGGGGGAAAAGATGACAGTGAGTGAGATAGTGGAAAATAGTAAAATTTTGCATCTGCCTGGCAAAACTGCTATGCTGTTAAAAATTCGATATTCACAACACAATTCCGGAGAGAGAGATAGAGACCTGAATCTCTTTGGGGAAGGTGGCAGAGAACATCATGGTCTGCCTCTCTCCCATGGGAGGCATCGTGTCTTGCTCCACAATCCTCCTGATCTGAGGCTCGAACCCCATGTCCAGCATCCGGTCCGCCTCGTCCAGAATCAGGTATCTGGAGAAAAGAGGGGGGAATTTCGGTCAGTCACATTTTAACCCCTGAAGCTCTGAATTTTACCGGCAAATTTCCAGCCCGACTCGTCCCCTCTCCAGTACGTCGACGAGCCTCCCCGGAGTGGCGACTAGCAAGAGGCAGCCCTTCTCAAGGTCCCGCAGCTGAGCCCCAATGTCAGCTCCCCCGTAAACCACGCATGGCCGGACACGGGATCGGTAGGAGAACTTGCGGGCCTCGGTGTAGATCTGTGAGGCCAGTTCTCGAGTGGGGGCAAGGATGAGGCAGATTGGATACTGCTTGCGACGACCGTACCCTCGAGGCTGGTGGGGAGAGGAGAGGAGACAGTGAGTGTGTGTGTCGTTCGATTTGTGAAGAGAGAGAGAAAACTGTGCATGTGTGTTGTTGCAGTAAGTGTGAGAGGTGAATGCTCACGTCAGGCGGGGTGGGTGGTGGTCCACCGCAGCACGCCAAGGACAGGACGGGGAGGAGGAACGCCGCCGTCTTCCCCGACCCAGTCTGGGCACACGCCATGAGATCTCTCTTCCCCATAATGATGGGGAGGGCATACTTCTGTACTGGTGTCGGCCTCGTGTACTTTGCCATCTGCGGGGGAAAAAGATACGAGAGAGAGAGGGAGAGAAAAGGGTTAAATTTAGTGTACAGTGGGAAACATTTGAGGGTCACTCATTCCCAAGCTCGAAAGGTTTTATAAAGTGGCTGAATATAAAACGTTGTTGAAAGATTTCAAGTTTGCATTAGCTCTCAAACGGCGAAACGGGTGGAAATGTTACGTAACTGCCCACATACACACACCCTGATGTTCTCTCGAACAGTTTCGTGAAATCCGCAGTCTTCGAAACTCGTGACGTTTTTTGGGCATCCTTCACCGGTGGCCTCCACAGGTATGTCCTCGTATCGGTCAAAGTTGATCCCAGTGTTAGCATCTCCAAACAACTCCCTGGGAGAAAAGGAGAAGTGCATGAAAATCTCAAACATTGAAATATTCTTTGAAACAGGTTTGGCTCACATTTCGACTCTGTCTTGTCTAGGAAGAGGTTTTCCCCATTCCTCTGGGGACACTGCCATCAAATCGGGGCCTCTCCCCCCTCCCCCTCCTCCCCACCTCCCGCCTCCCTCCCCTCCTCGTCTCCCTCCCCCTCCGCTCCACCCACCCCCGTATCCACGGCGACCTCCTCCACCATAATCGGAGTACTGTCGCTCCATCGGAGGGCGACCCCAGCCGTCAGACCTGACAACACACAACACCACAAACAAACGGATGCTAAACTTGTTTCGTGGGTGAACATCTTTGCTCAGATTTCAGTCACAAGCTAGGCAATGTGTTTCTCATAAATTGAGCAGTTTCTTAAGTTATCACAATTTGAAATTTTTTTGGTAGAGAGAGAAACATAGAAGTGAGTAACAAAGAACACACTCAATCTTCCTCGTTTACTCTTCATTCTATTTCACTCTCTCGTCCCTAAAACTTACCGTCCATACCCCCCACCACCACCACCACCACCGCCATAGTGACCGAAGTCTTCAGAGCGTCTTCTCCCGTAGCCACCGCCTCCACCGCCATAGTCACGAGGAGGAGGACCGACATCTGCGGAACAAAGAGGTAGGTACTTCCCTTACTGCTACTTTCTTTGTCCCCAATTGGTGTCCGGAATGGAGAGGCTCCACTGTATTACTGGCAATCATGTGAACAGAGAGCAACTCACCAGCAGGGGGTCCATTGTAGCCCCCCTGCCCACTGTCAACACTGTCTCTCAAATGAGGAGGAACGTAGCGACCTAAAAATAGCAACATTACAACATACTTCCTAAAAACAGCTCACTCGATGAATATTCATGACCTCATTTCCCAATAGCCCACCACCACCCCTCTACTAGTGAATGTAACAAGACATACCTACATACCTGTGCATATAAACACGATACACAAACAGTAGACAAACAAGAATGTAGTAAGCCTTCTACAGCACACAGACAAAGAGCCAATGTCACACAGAGTATGTCACAGTGTAACTCAGAGGACCAGGCAGGGCAGGCCAACATGTACTCCAGGGCCAGACATGGTAAAAAGATGTGTATCCCAGGGTGTTTCTCTGACCTCTAGACTTGTTTCGTCTGTCTCCACTCCCGCGAGAGTCTCTCTGATCAGACAAGCCTAGATCAGCAAACTGGAGAAAGTAGCGACAAATTCTCGATAAATACGAACAAAGATTTAGCAGTATATACACACAGCCCCTCGCGGCTCCAGCGTACCTGCTGCTCTAGACCTGTGCCATGTTTGGGCTCGCTACTCATAACTCGATAAGACGGCTCAGTGCAGAGACGTCCAACTGCTGCCCTCTTGTCACGCGAAGACAAAAAGCCAGAGGAAGAAAAGAGTCAGCTTTTTCAGGCAGCATGCGCTGGCTGTGGATTTCAATATTTCCGTACACGAGGTTTCGTTCAATTGGAGTCGGTCACGTGACTCTCGACCAATCAGATTTCGTATTTGATCACAGTGTGGGAAATACAAAAAGCCTGGAGCACTGGCCTGAGGGTAGAAAAGGAGCTTTCCCCTCCGTTTTCAAAAGTGAGCGAGTTCTCCGACGTTCCGACTGCAAATCAGCCGTTCGTCCAATCTTCTTATAAGATCTGTACCGCCAGTTTCTACGATCTTTCACATCCGCCGAAGTTTAGCCGCCATTTTACAAAGAAGACACCTTGATCACCTCGAGATGCTGAGAAACAACCCTCGCCGAGCTGGCCTGAAGGCTCTGCAGGCAATCAAAGAGAACGGCCAGAACGCCAAGAACAAAGTGAGGCGCGGTGATGCGTGTGGCGTCTATCACCTCTTCTCCATCTACTTCTCTCTTCCTCTCACACCTCTCTCTTTACCCCCTCCCCCCTCTCTCTCTCTCTTTCTCTCCAGGGCAGAACCAACAACTCTAAGTCCAAGTCAGAGAACCCCCAGCCAGCAGGGAAGAAGCGATCTTCAAGTCCAAACGGCTCCATTCTGGCCCTGGCTCCAAAGCCAAAGAGAAACGCGCTGGGAGACGTCACCAACAACGTGAGTTGCACAAACCACCAACCCTGGAAAGACGGTTTTCTGGTCCCTGTACAAAACACGGTTGTGGGCAACTGGAGAGCGCATTGTTTCCTACGAGGCTTGTTTGTAGTTGTGACCCAAAGTCTTGTACAGTTGTTCACACCGTGGGGAACATGTATATTGTAACCCCCTCTCACAGAAGGAACAGCAGTCGTCTCAGAAGGTGGCTGTTGTGATTCACTCCCCCGAGGTCAACCAGAGGCTTGTACTGACTGTTAGAGACCACGCCTCTCAGTCACACCCTCATATTCGGCTACCCAGTGCTTCCGATGACAACGATGAGGCCTCTCAAGTCAGGTAAGAGAGAAAGATAAAAGTTTTGGGAGACTTACTATAGACTTGTCCATGAAATCTGAACACGTTGTGATGATACACACAATGTGCTGGTGTACCGTCATGCTCCCCCTCTCTCCTCGTCTCATCTCCAGCTCTCTGGGTTCGGCTAGTCAGGACACCCCAGTCACAGCCATGCAGAATGTCCTTCAAGCCACCACGCTGGATGACAGTGGCTCCGGGCCCAGTGAACTCCCCTTTGCAGAGGAGGAGCCAACTCCTCTCTGGACTAATATCGACCAGCCCGAGGCACACGACCCGTCCTACTCATCCGAGTATGCCCCTGAGATCTACCAGTATATGATGCAGAGAGAAGTGAGTGATTGTATATACAGGAACTAGCAACTTATGTATATAAAGTAGCTTGCTTGAGTTACTGTAGTGTTTGTGGTCTATATGTATGTATGCATGTATATACTTGTCTGTAAGTGTGGAATAGTGACATGTTGTAAGACTAACAGCTATGTATGCATTCAGTTGCGCTGCAAGACGCTACGCACGAGTTACCCTCTCTCTCTCTTTCTCCTCTCTCTCTCTTTTTCTCCCCCTCTCTCTCTCTCCCTCAGCGGGAGTTCGAGGTGGAGCCGTACATGCACAGGCAGAATGACATTGGCCATGCAATGAGGACGATCCTAGTTGATTGGCTCATCGAAGTCCAGGAGAACTTTGAACTCTTTCACGAGACCCTCTACCTCGGGGTCAAGCTGGTCGACATCTATCTCTCCAGAAAAGAAGTTTTACGAGAATACCTTCAACTGGTCGGAGCCACCTGCCTCCTCATTGCTTCAAAATTTGAGGTGACTCTAAAATTTGTGCAAGATTTTGCCCACGAAATTTTTATGCTGTTTGGCTATTTATTATGGAGGTTTGTCCTTAAATTTTAGAGTCGGGGTGTATTTTTTGCAGGAGTTGAGTCCACCTCTAGTGGACGACTTCCTGTACCTATGTGACGACGCATACAAGAGAGATCAGATTCTGTCCATGGAGAGAGAGGTCCTCCTGGTCCTGGACTACGACATCAACATACCCATCGCCTACCGGTTCCTTAGGAGGCTTGCCAGGGTTAACTCACCTCTTGTCTCTCTCCTTCTCTTTCTTGTCCCCTTCTCTTTTCTCCTGAGCTCACTTTCCCTCTCCTCCATGTCCCCTCACAGGCTGCGTCGGCTACAATGGAGACACATACAATGGCCAGGTACATCGCAGAGCACTCTCTTCAGGAATATCAGTTTGTTGACATGAAGGCATCGCAACTGGCAGCTGCTTCCATGTACCTCGCACTTAGGATGATGAAACTGGGAGGATGGGTGAGTGACTGAGTGTGTGTGTGTGTGTGTGTGTGCTATTAGATCCAAAACTTTTGCGAGTTGACATGCAAGTTGGCGGGTTAACTAGTGCATTGTCACCTACAATCACTTAAACTTTGTTGATTTTCACCTCCTTTCTGCCACATACCATGTTTCTGTTATCCAGACCCCAACACTACAGCACTATTCAGGATACTCCATCAGTTCTCTACTACCAGTCGCCGAAAATCTCAACAACATGCTAAAGGCACCACTCACCCAACAAAAAACCGTCAGAAGCAAATATTCACACGAGTAAGACGAAACTTTTCCTCTATCTTCATCCTCAACTTTCTCTTTTTTCAGAGTGTTTTTCAAAGTGGCTCAAGTGCCTCCACTAGAAGATGTCAGAGAAGATGCCAGACAAGCAGCTTCAAACTCTTCGTAGCAAAACACTGCCATCACCTATAGCGTTTTTTCCACTATAATTATTTCTCTATCATGCACTTTTCACTCTTGCTTTTTATGACATGACTGCATTTATTGTGTGTATACAGTATATGCTGTACGAAGTATTGTATTATGTTTGACATTATTTTATTATTGGCACAATGGAGAAATGATACACACTCTGAATAAAGGGGAACTCCTTCCTTCAGCTCTAAAACGACACTTGTTCTACTTAGCCTTGTACAGGCTTCTGAAACACCTGATCTGGATGAACTCTAGCTGTGCAAGAGGTTCCAATGTATATACCAAATGACTATATAGTCTTACAGGCTCCTCCCTATACATGATGTCACTGGGCAGTAAGACTACACTGCCCACCTAGACCCTAGCCACTTGCCAAAGCTGTATACTCTATGACTAATAAACTGTGTGGGTTTCAGGTAGAGCCTTCTTATAAAAATGCAACAGATTGGGGGTTTAGGGCCTCATACAGAATTAGAGAGAGAGAGAGAGAAAGAATGAGGTAAGATGGCTAGGTGAGTACGGGCCATTGTGTATGACTATATTCCACAGGGTTCTGTGTTGTGTGGCTGTGTTCTGCCTTGTGCTCCAAACAGCTTTCTCTCATGTCACCGAACGTATGAGGAATAACTAAGTCTCACAACCATTATGTATGTACGTGTAATGTACACAGATCCTGAGAACTGTCCGTTTGATGGATGTATGGGTGAGAAAGGAGAGCGTGGACCAAAAGTAAGTTAGCTACTCATCCGTTTGCTCAAATCGATCGATCTTATTGCTGTTGCAGGGAGAGAGGGGGACTCCAGACTACTGCAACTGCACTGTAAGATCGATATCTTGATTTCTAAACTTCACTCATTCTTACACGAAGAGCTTTCAAAATCTATATTATATATAGTTATTCGAAAATGATTTCCAATCGCAGTTGATGTGTTGTCCACAGGGAGAGACTGTTATGTCGGCATTACTTGGCCCACCTGGACCGAAGGTGAATGATTGAGTGTGTGGGGGAGGAGAGAGAGCCTGTAGCTGAGTTGTCTCCCACACTATAGGGAGAGGTTGGTGTGTCTGGGCGAACTGGGCTTCCAGGGAAACCAGGAGTCAAGGTGGGCAGTGAGGGGCACCTTTCCACCGCTATTGTTCACTGTCTGTGTATGCCGAGACAGGGGGAGAATGGAGAACCAGGGGTGGCTGGAACCAAGGTATGTACATGCAGCATTAGAGTCTTGGAAATTTTATGAGTTTTTGTTTTCTACCTACAGGGAGATCCTGGGACCCCAGGGACATGTCCTGGTGACAATGGGAGCTGCCCAGGGATTGTGGTACATACTTAACCTAGATACATGCAGTGGACACCCTATCGCACTACATAGCTCACAAAACACACGAATCTTTGTTAAAAGCCCAAATGATGGATTATACTCCCTCATAATAGGGTCGCCCAGGACCCCCAGGGGTCCCAGGTAGAGCAGGAGAGAGAGGGGAACCAGGGGTACCTGCAATCCCCCCACCAACAATAAGACCCAGCTCATCTGGAGCTCTGGGAACATCTCGTGTGGAGGTGGTAAGAACAATAGCACACCATAAGCAGTAACGTTTGAATGACTGATCCGATCATTAGATGAGTGTGATATCAAGTGAGAGCTGCTCTCTGGACATTCAAGGGACTCTGAGACTTGACCCTAACACAAAACAGCTCTATTACTGCAATGGGGACCAGTGGACTGTAAGATTGCTCCATGTATAGGATTTGACCATCAGTCCCTCTCTGTTCTGTCCCTTAGTGCCTTGAAACTACTGTCTGCAGAGAACGTAAGACAACCCACTTGAAGCTTTTCCAAACACTTAATTGTTGTTTTCAGCTCCATGCATCAGTCCGTATGGCCCTACGCCAGTGGGAGGGATGTGGTACCAGGTCTTCCTCCAGAGTGTGACTCAGGACAACCAGGTAGGGATGAGTGATGGTACCTTTGTCAGTGACAGTCAGGGAGATGGGATGTAGGATGCTGCAGATGTGGTTCTGGTGGTGGATGAGTCCGGAAGTATGAATAGAGAGCACGAATGGCTCCTCATTATGATCCCTCTACTGGAGCAAGTACTCGTGCAGGCTGGTGAGATTCAGACTATTGCTGGCAGACTTTCAGAGTTCTATTCTATTGCTCTCTATTTTTAAGAGCCATTCGAGTTCATCATACTATTGCTAGTGGTCATTATATTCTCCCTCTCTCTTTGTTGATTCATTCTAAGGTGTTGGTGTTGGTGTTAGGAACAGGTACTGTGTTGTTGGGTTTGGAAGTTTTGCAGAGTTCGAGGGAGGACATTTCATTCTGGTCGACGGAGAGCCATGTTTCTTAGCCTCTGACTTCCCCAGAGCCAGGTAGCTATATGCAGCACCAACTCCGCACACTTTCCCAAATTGCTTCCCAACATAATGCATGACTTGCAGGGCTCAGCTCCTGAATGCTGGACTTTATGAGGATGGCTACCAAGCTATTGACTTTGCTCTTAAAAATATTCCGTTTCGAGACAGTCCCTTTATTGCCAAGAACATAATTCTCATTACAGACGAGGGTCGCACACCCATACCCCAAGGAGCTGGTCAGCCACTAGATCTAAAGAGACTACGGTAGCTAGCTATATACTTTCGTTGCAGGGTTGAATTTCACAGATATGGAGAAGCTGTTGAAGGATAACGATGTTATACTCAACGTGGTGGTATGGGCAGACTACAGACTCCGCAGTGACCCCAACGCAGTTGTTCTTGGAGTAGATTACTCCGGACTGTCGTACGTCCTGGAGCCCAATGGAGAGTTCAGCATCAGAACTGGTCCAGTGGAAATTACAGGGGTATACCCCTATAGCTACGAACCTATGAAACATATTACGTAATGTATTGTCTTCAGGGTGAAAAGGACACTGCTGAAAGCTACGTAAACCTTGCCATTGCAGTTGGTGGAGCGTCCTGGGCTCTCAGAATCCTGCGTGAGTCTTCGATTTCAAGAAACGTCACACTTCAGGTCTGAAGAAAGCTTTGTGGTTCAGTTGGTGTTCGAACCAACTAGAGCATGATTTTGTTTTCATTAATTGTAGGAGAGTTTCACATCAGCATTGACTGAGATAAAAGTGAGGGAAATATCTGCCCAGATCGAATCTTGCAGAAAGTATGTTCAGCAGGCGTCCTGACTTGTGTCCCTTATTGTGCTGATGGTATCCAGGTGTACGTGTGTAGCGGGGGAGGTGACGACTCGCATCAGATGTGAGATTGCAGACGACTCCGATTTCTGCCAGTGTGTGGTTGACAACAATGGAGACCAGAGCCAAGTAGCTAAGTAAACTCCGTGCCAGCTATTGTATTATGCTCGCTACTGCAGTGCACTCCCTCGGAGATTGCAAGTGACGGGGACCTAGTGTTCGGAGCTGGTGGAGGGGACCTCTCATCTGAGACTTTCTCCATCCCCAGAGCATCTGGATAGACTCCAGAGGACGTTTTGATTATTGTTGAGCGCATGCGCACAATTATTTTCCATCGCCGACGCGACATGACCGCGCAATTGCAAGAATTTCGATGCGAACGAGACTCCAAACCGAAACGAGGATGCCAACCGGCGTAGTTTTGTCCATCCACTAGACTCAGTTCCTCATTCGTAGAGAGAGAGAGAGAGGGCGGAGAGAAAAAGCGGGAGGAATGGAGTCGCTGAAGCGACCATTACTCAGTGACGGCCCACTAGCCACCATAGCCGAAGTCGAGGTGGAGAGGAGCACAACGTGAGTTCGGTCTTCTGCGAACCTTGTAGCCACTAAGCTGAACATTAGAATAGTGGGTAGGTATAAGACAGGTGATAGTGCAGAGAATGGAGATATCATGCGGAAATCTATAGCCAACGCGTGTTTTCTCTTCCTGCAACCCAATACTGTGTTTGTGCAAAAGTCAGATATTTGTCATCTTTCAGTTTACCCACCTGTGTATATAATTTCTCTCTCTCTCTGAATCAATTCCGTGGTTTCCTCAGAGTGGAAAGAAAAACATCCACCACTAGTCTCCCAGAGACTAACGGTAGTGAGAATGCTATCACCGGTGAGCCAGGGAAGGAAGAGAGAGGGGACAGAAGTAGATCGACTTGGGGAGGAAGGGAGTCACGTCCAAGGCCCTCTCAAAAGAAACCCAAGAGAGTCACAGACCTTGCATCACAGGGGAGAAGACGGGAATTAGACTACCCACAACCACTGAGAAACTACAACATCCACGAACAAGGGTTAGAGAATCAATCTCCCTGCTTTATTCTTGTCCCTCACCATGAATATCCATACAGGTATGGACTGGAGCCTCCGTACCGTCTTCGTACGAGTTCAGAGGTCAACTCCGCCCCCAGTACTAGAACTTCGTCCTTCTCTGAAGGTGGCTTGGAGGAAAATGGTCAGTTCTGCTTTAGTTAGCTACTACTCTATAAGATACAGTGGCAGACATAAGAGATTTGGTGTTGCAGGGAACCTGGATGAGGAAGAGGGAGTGATAGATGGTGGGGGCTCCATTGATGGCAGAAATGATTTCGTCGACGTGGGGCTGGACACAACACTCGAGGGAATGTCCACTACAAAGGAACTCACTCGTTGCAAGAAAACTGTCCTCGTGTTTTATCTGAATTTCCTAAAACTGGTAGGCCAGTGTTCAAAGTGCTGACTTGCTATTGACGATGCACGTAGTATTATTAGCCAGTGTTTGTCAAAACTCCCCAGAATGCCTTTTCTAAAGCCACCAGAGTAGAGTTTCCTTAATAAACATGTGAACTGTTATGCTCTTGCCAACTATAATATAGCAGACTACGAATACATTATGCACTGTGTGTAATAGACGGTGTCTAGAACGCAGTGTGTGCGTGCTAGAAGGATACTGAAAGTAAACAGCATGGCACCAACATGAAAACAGATGGGTGTTTTTACAAGGCTGCCATAATCTCTTTCCCCTCACAGATAGGGTGGAGGAGATGGAGGGGACCAAGGCAAGACCTGGACACCCCTCTCTATACCAATGTCCTCAACTTTCTCTATCCTTCCTTCATCTTCTTCCTCATGGTTGCGGCCTGTGTCACACAGACCCTCACCTGCTTTTACCGAGATGAGGTATATTGCATATGTGTTTGAGAAGGTTTGAACTTTATCTAGTGTGCTAAACACCTTGCCATCTACTATCAACAGCTGTGATTCTAACTGTTTCTCCCGCAGGTTCGCTATGGTCCAGTTAATGAGAGAGGTATTCTAGTCATCAGCTGCAAAGAGCACATTCTGACACGTTCTGTCATAGCCGATGCTCTCCTACTGGCTGCCTATCTTTTCGGAGTCTATTTCTTCAGATACAAAGAGCCAGAGCACCTCTCAGCTCTCATGGAGAGAGTGAGTCCTTTAAGCATGTCATCCACATCTGATTCTGTAGCACATGCTGTGTACACTGGAACTTGTGTGTTTGTGTTCAGGTTTATCTCAGCTTCAATTTCAAGCACCGGGTCAGCCCACAGGGAAGACTTACATTCACACTCAGGTAGTTTCTCTCTGTCTCTACTTCAGTAACAGAAGGGGCTAAAGCTGAAGAGATCAATTGTATTTTTTTCTAGGATGATTCTAAGTCTGTCGGCTGTGTGGGTGCTACTATCATTTGCTGGCAATATTCTGAGACTGTTTAGTCTTAGCCTCTTGAAAAATTCAACATACCTCGCTCTCATCAGTACAATTCCAGCCACTAACGCAACGGCAACAAATATGACAGTGTAGGTATTATACAAATCTCAGCTTCCAATGATTAATACTAAATTATGTGTCATCATCTGTAGCACGATGAAACGTGGTCTGATTGATAACATAACTCGTTACACTCTTGTCATCTACTCCATCGTTGGATTCGTGATGTTTGACATGCTATACATGGCCGTGGTGGTGAGCTACGTCTCACACGCACAGCTCCTACTCACCTACATCAATTCCGTCATCGACAAAGTTCAGACAAAAGCCTATGACCTAGGAAAGGCCATAAGAGTGAGTTCTGAAAAATTATGAAAAGCATAAAAGTTTACGAGCTCAAATTTCTTCTCTTGCAGGACATGAGCCAGATTTACGAATCGTTGAAGGTTTTGAATGCAACTCTCTCTCACCTGACCTCAGTCTGTCTGTTTATATTCATCACCACCTCCATATCATGTAAACCTGCTCTTGCTCTACATTTTCTATGTGGATCTCTTGTATACTCTTAACTGATGCAGCTCTGGTGGGGCTGGGCAGCATCAATGCTGATCAAGCCACGGGGCGTGATCGTAAGATACACATATCAGTTGGAGTTATCAACTTTGTACAGTGGACACTGCTGGCCTTAGCCCCCGTCACACAAGTACGTTTCAAGCTACCATGTAACACATTTTTGTCAAAATAGTCTGTCTGTACAAGATAACATTTTGCCAAATACCAAATTTTCTGTGGCCATCCAAATTTTTCTTACAAAAAGTGTGACGAGTTTGTAATTTCTCTCCCTCTGGCATGCAGGCTTCCAGACTCACATCGACCTGTCGCAGACTACGGAGACTGGGCCTGGAGATTGGCGCCAGACCCTTCAGTTACCACGACACTCCGCAGCTGGTCCTGGACTCCTTCCTACAGTACACCAACGCCACTAGATACACCGTGAGAAACATGACATCATCATGATGTAATGTATTGTAATCTAATATCTTTCCCAGGCCAAGCTGGCAGGCGTGCCTATCTACCCAAAAGCTGTCGTTGGATTTTTATTTGTGTTTGGTATAGTAGCCACATGGGCCCTGGTCAAGTTCAACCCTTTTAGTTTCGCTTCATGGTTTTAATTTATCCTCAATTGTGTGTCTATTCCACTAGTTTCATTGGTCATTCATTCAGTCAGTCATAATCATGTCAGGGTGCCCGGTTGATTCGTTTTTCCGATATCACATAATGTACTGTGGGGTCTACGGGCAGAGTGTGAAGCTGTGAGCTCAGAGATCAAGTAATTGATTTCATATGCTCCCCAGCTCTGTGGTGGACTGAAGACCACACATGCCAGAGCGTGAGAGAGATCATATCGCAACTCAATTCATCACTGCTCACAAAGAATCGCTTCATGATCACAGCAGGCTGACTGGGCAGCCAGCTCAGATTTGGCTAAGTAGCCGCCTCCTCTCCGTGATAGAGAGAGGAGGAAACCTCGTCATCTCTGAGAGAAACGGGGAGCAGAAACTCACCGCCATTTTCCCAGATCAGAAATACGGTAATGACGTTTATAAGGTGCGTAATATGTAAGCGCTCTTTTGACCTTTGTCCTTTAGTTTTGTTCTGAGAAAGAGACAAAGGAAGGGAACGAGGGAGCTGGGAGCTGTTTGTCGACATCTTTGAGCGATTTCTTCGCTGTAGAGGGGTTGGGTAAAGAGCGGCAACGTTCGTTCTAAATAGAGCGCACCGTAGTCTCCCGGCCAAAATGAGCATCACGAGCGACGAGGTCAACTTTCTGGTCTACCGCTATCTCCTGGAATCAGGTACCTTCTCAGAACCTCTCAGCTGGACGTACGGTATCCCCTCTCCGTCTGTCGCAGGTTTCCAGCACTCTGCCTTCACCTTTGGTCTGGAGGCCCACGTCCACCAGTCCAGTATCAATGGCTCTGCCATTCCTCCGGGGGCCCTCATCGCTGTACTGCAGAAAGGACTCCAGTACGTCGAGGCTGAAGTCAGCATTGCTGAGGTAGTTTATCAACTACGCACACAGATGATCGAACGGCTCACACGTTGCTAAAATAGGCCTCTTTCCTCTCCCTCTAGGACGGTACTGATCTCAGTGACAAGGACCTGCCACCTCTATCTCTGGTTGATGCCGTCACAACCCACCACAATCTGAGTCACCGAGGTGGGGGCGGGGGGAAGAAAGGCAGTGTAGCAGCTACAACTACTGAAGACAGTGGGACCAAGAAAGTGAAGGAAGGTAGGAATCGTGGAGTGTCTGAGAACAGAGTGGAGTGTTTTACTCCACACTCCAACTCCAGAGCCGATGGAGGTTGACGGGGGGAAGGGGGCGGGGTCTCTTGATCTTCCGACCAATCAGGTTACAGTTCTCACGGGGCACAAATCTGAGGTGTTTACATGTGCCTGGAGTCCCAGTGCAGACATTATCGTCTCTGGGTGAGGAAAGGGTTAAAACTTGAATGCTGTGAATGTATGTGAGCTTAGTGAGCTAAGGGTTAAACTGTGTGCAAAGGTCTGGAGACTCAACGGCGCGTCTGTGGAGACTGGGAGAAGGGGGCGTGTCTGGCCACACCTCCTCAGTTGTTCTTCCCCACGAGCCGGTGGACTCTTCGTCGCAGCAAGAGATCAACAGAGATGTCACCACTGTCCATTGGAACGTAAGAGACACAGGGCATTACAATACAATACTTTTTGTTTATTGTTGTTTGGTAAATTTAGGCTTACCAGATAAAGATATGGAGGGATGAATTACAGTGTGTGTGTCTGTTACTTATGCTTTTGCTGTGTTAAGTCGTAGTGTTTTCTCTGTGTCCAGAATGACGGGTCCCTCCTGGCAACAGGGGCCTACGACGGTCTGGCTAGAATATGGACCAGTGAGGGTGACCTCCGCTCTACCTTAGTCCAACACTCGGGACCCATCTTTGCTCTCAAGTGGAACCCCAAAGGCTCCTGCATTGTCACTGGCGGTGTGGACAAGGTTAGGGAGAAAGTCTGCCCCACACACACACGCACTTCAGTGTTCCTCTTTCTATTCTTTAATTTCTCCGTTCTCTCCCTCCCTCCCTCCCACAGACGGCTGTGGTGTGGGATGTGCACAGCGGAGAAGTCAAACAACAGTTTTGTCTCCACAAAGGTTTAAGATCTTACCAACTCCAGAAAAATGAACTCTCTCTCTGCTCTATTTCCACCGCTAGCTCCTACTCTGGATGTGGACTGGCAGAACAACACGTGTTTCGCATCCTGTTCTTCCGACAAACTCATCCACGTCTGTAAACTAGGCACAGAGAGGCCCCAACGAACCTTCCAGGGTCACAAGGTCAGTGAAAACAAATCCAGTGAGCCAGGGGTTAATTAACTCTGATTGATCGTTAGAGTGGGGTTAACACGGTAAAGTGGGACCCTTCGGCGACCCTGTTAGCATCTTGTTCGGACGATCACACGGCTAAGATATGGAGCATGAAGAGTGAGACTTGTCTTCATGACCTCCGAGAGCACAGCGGCGACATCTACACCCTCCAGTGGAGTCCTACCGGTCCGGGCTCTGGGAACCCCTCCGCCAACCCCATGCTCGCCACGTCAGTTGGTCCTATACCTCTAACTATAGTTGATCCTTACTCACTTTTTGCTCCAAATTTCGTTTCCCTCCAATCTCGCTCTCATCTTTCGTCTTTCCTTTCTACCTTGCTCCAAACTTTGGTCTTTCGTCTCCCCCCCCCCTCGTTAGCGCGTCATTTGACTCAACGGTGCGTCTGTGGGAGGTGGAGAAGGGGGCGTGTCTGCACACCCTACACAAACACAGGGATCCAGTCTACTCCATCGCCTTCTCTCCTGACGGGAAACTCATTGCCAGTGCTTCTGTCGATATGTGGCTCTACGTCTGGTCCACTCAGGTCGGTAATGGGTATGTAAGAAGGAGAGAGTTGTGAGCTTCTTGTTTATGCACACACACACACACACACTCTCTTTCTCTCTTCTCTCTCTCTCTCTCTCTCCACCAAACAGGACGGTGGTCTAGTGAGGCAGTACAAGGGAGCTAGTGGTGTGTTTGAAGTCTGTTGGAGCAAGGCCGGAGATAAACTAGCTGCCTGCTACTCCAACAACACAGTATGTAAACCTTTCTCTCTGTACATACATTAGTCTCTTGTAGTGGGCTCAAAATAATGTGGTTGTTGAACACACTTGCCTATTATGCCACCAAAGAAGTTACCAAGCAGGCCCCCACAATGTTTACTTGAGATAACGATTGTAAATTTACTAAATTCCAAGCTAATGATGTTAATCTGTGTGTAGGTGTGTGTGTTGGATCTAAGATCAAGTCCTTCAAACTGAATTATCGTATGTTACTGATAGCCGTTCTCTCTTTATCCATCTTTGTCTCTTAGCATGCGCCCCTCCCTTCCCACCCACTCTCTGTTGTCATCATGTCTGTACATAATACTCCTTCGCATGTAATGGAAAACGAAAACTGACTGCAGATGTTTTAACACACGACATAATATTATAATTCGAACATACGCTTTCAACTAATGACTCCTATAATGGTTTACACACGGTTTCCATGGGGATGCGAGTAAAGTGTGTTAACCCCTTTTAGACTGTGTTTGCCACTCGAGTTAACCCCTCGGTCACCAGCAGGTCCACCTGGCACTGCGTCGCCTAGCAACGTGTTAAACAGCTGCAACTCCAAGGGGGTGTGGCTTACAGGGGGACCCCTCTCTAATGAGCTGTACTGGTAGCTCCGCGGTAGAACGTTGACCTCACTTCTTGGGGGCGGAGTTTTGGATTTAACCCTTCTGACCACATGTCTTGGATTATTAAGAGGAGTGTCGTTCAATTGCTCGGTGATGGAATGATAAACATCAGGAGGAAGAGAAGACAGCTTTGCTTGAGCGAGCTCTCCCTGTCCTCCTCCGGCAGAGGTGGCAATAGTTGTAGGGTCTCTCCCTCCGTTAGTGAGGAATGGGGCGGCGTGGGGGGATCGGTGGACGTGGGCATCGGAATGGGACTCGTTTATCATACTGGAACTGGGACTGGTGGAACTGCCTCGGGACAGATCCAGCATGGAACCTGGACAAACATATCTTATTAGTGTGGTGGGAGGGAAACCTCAGAAAAGGGACACTCTGAATAAAGGTCTGTTGAGGACACTTGGTTCTGCCCCATACTAATACATTAGTGTATGTACCTCCGCAAATGGGACGACTTTGAATCAATGACACTTAGATTTTCCCTCTTATTCAGGGGTTATTACGGGTTCTCACCAGTTTTCTTGGCGGGGGAGGTGTGTAGTTGGTGAGGTGGTGAGTGGTGGAGTTTGTGAGTGTGAGAGACGTATGTCAGAGTTGGGGAAGCCATCTTCCGGTGGGACGGTGAGAGTTGTGACGTCGGGGAGGTGTGGAGCTGGTGATGGGGGGCGTAGTGACTTGGTGAGGTGTGAGGTGGGGACTTGTGACTCGGTGACGAGTGAACCTTGTGAAGTGGAGAGGCGTGGCTGATTTGTCTGGCGGCCTCGTCAAACTGACAGGAGCATCTCTGACACCTCTCCATCAGCTCTCTCACTTCCACTTCCTTTCCTGCCAGTGCTGTCTTCAACTGACTGATGTAGTTCTGTCCCACCGTAGAATGGAGTCTCATAATATACAGGGCACTAGTGTGTATACCCTACCTCTTTCTGGGCCAAAGCTACTTCAACTGCAAGCTCTTTCTCTGCCGCTAGTTCTGTACATTTCTGCTCCCACTGCACGGGAATCAAAGATAGATTTTGCCATAGTGTATGTGTGAATTGAAACCTTGGCAAGGTCGGCTTGTAAGACTGTTACTTCCGTCTCCCAGTTTGTAGCCCCGCCCTCTTCCTCTCCCTTTCCCTCCTCCTTGGCCCCACCCTCTCTTCCTCGGAGCTCTCGAATCTCGTCTTGCAGCTGGGTCCTCACTCGCCTCTCCAGCTCCTCTCGTTTCAGACTAATCAGCTGGAGACTCTGCAGGTGTTCGTTGAGTCTGTCAATTCTCTGAGAGTACACCTCAGTTTCCTGCTAGAAGAGACCACAGTAATATCATATGACATGGGGTTATACAAAAGTGGAAAAAATCTCACGTCTGTCTGAGCTCTGATGTGGATATCCGAGACCTGTGGCTGATCGCCGCTGTTGTCCCTCTGAAACTTTCTCTTAGCCACCGACTCTCTCCTCTCTAACCCTCTCTCCAAGGTCTCCACGGATCCATCACTCGCCTCAGCTGAATGCCAGAAGACGAGAGGAGACAAGTATATAGATAGCTGCAAGAGGCAAGGAAGGGTATTGGGTTACCTCTGTATCTAGCTATTTCACCCTCCAGTTTAGATCTCATTGCTGCCTCCAGTTTCTCTCTTCGTCTGTTGGACTCTTCCAGAAGTCGATGAGCTTCCCTCAGTCTCTCTAGCTCTTGCTCCATCTGTAGGTGTGGTATAATATAGCGAGGAGGTAATGTACACTAATTGCCAGGGGCTTACCCTCATTAGTTTGCAGACTCTCTGATAGTATGTTTCCAGTTCTCTCTTGAGCGTCGTGTTTTCCTCATGTAAGATTTCCACTAGACGAGAATTTTCGTGTAGCCTCATTGTTCCATCGTCATACGGGACGCTATCGTGCAACTGGACAGACGCAGTTGCCCGATGGTACGGACCATCGTGTAATCGGACGGAGACGCTCTCCTGGTGAGCCAGACTATCGTGAAACGGGACACCAGCACTGTGATATCGGGACATTCCACGACCAGGCACACTGTGGCTATCAGCCACTAATGGGAGGGGGCTACCCGCCAGTTGTGCCTGCGGATAATAATATGTAATGCTATGTTATTGCACACCCTCTAATTACAGAGCACAACATATCTATAGTCTATCTGCACAGCAGAGCAAACATCATCAGAATGCAATGAAATTAGTGTTAAACAGAGCCAGTACAAATTACATTGGTTTTGCATGCTCCGAATTCTTAGACGGTTAACTAAGTATACGGTGCTTAACCACAAAACATGCGTCTAATTATTTGTATAATGCTACCCACTAATTTCACGGGAGATCGAGGGTGCAGATGTTACCCGACATACCTCCCATAACTTATCCATGCTTCTAGAGAGCCTCTTCTTTTTGTCTTTGGTCCGAGACGATCTTCGTCGCAGCAGAACACCTGGAGTTTCCCCTCTTCCCTCTGAGTTCCTAGTTGGAGAAAGACCAACGTCGGAATACGCCATCCTACTTAGAGATTGGGCCAGTGCAGACTCAGAACGAGGCACTCCGATATCAGAATGGGACGTCCCGATTACGGAGCTGGTCGCGTCTGCCACAGAGTAGAGAGTCCCGGAAGTGGATGAGTTTGTACCAGAGAACGAGTGGACCGACTGAGTTCTCATTCTGTTCTGTTGTGACGAGTACCCATCGAGTACCGTTGGGCGCGAAAGAGTTCGTGATGCACTCATTGACCCTCGCGGTTTCCCTTCCTCTGTGCCGACTCTTCTAGAAGGTGGAGCAGTCAGTGTGCGGTAGACTGGAGTGTTGTCACTGTAGCGCCGAAACTTCCCGAGTCCCCTCCATCGACGAGTCGGTGCACCGAGTGAGGCGAGGTCTGCCTGCATTGTCGTTATCTGCTGCAGGAGTTTAACCCTATCCAGACTGTCAGTTATCCCCAAACTACCTGTGGAATACACAGCACAGTCAAATGACAAAGCATAACTGCCTGCAGAATGCACAAGCATACATTATAGCCCTGGACACCAGCTGGATGAGAGAGCAAATTCTATTGTGGGACCAGTGCTGTGTAACTTGATTTGAGAGGGCTGTTGAGCCCATGTCCTCACACACTGGTCTACAGGGCAACCTCATTTGCAGCACTCTCACTGTTTTCAGATAGAGCCAGAGAGACTGACTCTACATGGCAGTCCAACCAGTTCCTTTCAGGCCTAATTGCCACACACACTCACAGGCAGAGAGCTGTTAACAGACTAGGGTATGTAATGATAGAACCATGGTGCTCTAGTAGAGGTGTCTCTGTACTATTAGCTCACGTGCACTAGTTCTGTTCCTATCTTTGTGTATACATTTCTTCAACTAGTACGTGGTTCACGGATGTACCGCATAGTGTAGCTCAAGCCAAGCATGCCCAGCAAAAGAATTTGCAACAAAAACCGTTCAAGTGTGGAGGGTTCACCCCATAAGGGACTATGAATGTCTGAATGAGACTATCCGCATTCCTGTATGGACGCACAGAAATATGTATTCCCAAGCTCTGCTTTAAACACCCAGACAGAAAAGAACTAAACATGGCCACTGGAATTTTTCCCTTACCAAAAGGTTGTGCTAGTGTCTCCGACAGTGAAGCACTTCAAAGATATGTTGGGCCAACTGACTGCACAACATATACATCCCACTTTAGCAAGGAGTGGATCTGGCTACACTGATACAATAGAACTGCCCACACCTCTGGTTAAGATTAACATAGCTCTGGGGGATAAGGATGGTCTGTATAGAGCTTGAGTTATGCTATGAATTGAGTGTTTTACCAAATACTCTTGAAATTGATACAATCCAACGCATTCTGTTGAAACAGAGTCTATTGGCGAAAGAAGTGTGCATAATAATAATATTACATGGAGGTTTATAGTGTGGTGGTATGAACATTGGAGCACCATTGAATAGCTGGGATTTCAACAACATGGATTGTTGGAATTCTTGGCCCATTGACTCCCCACAGTTCTTGAGCGTTAGTAGATACAACAGAGATACTAATATGCCAACAGATTGTCTTACTGAGAGAGGACGGGTTGAGTCGCAGTAGAGCCGGCCCGTCGATATTGTGATCTACGAACGAGAAACACCACTTATGCCAATACACTTTATAATGAGTCAAAGCAATAAGCTATGCAGAGTATTTAGCTTAGATGCATAACTGTACGTAAGGTGAGCTAGCTACGCTTCCTAAAGGATGCAGGATTCGTGCATAAGTGTCGCATCATTGCGAACCTCTGAATTGTTTGGCGTAGTCTCGGGACAGTTGAAGAGTTTCCAGCCACAGGACCACTTGCTCCGTACCCCACTCGGCGAAGGCTCGAGGGATCTCCGGTACCCGCGACAGAGACATGACCAACGAAAGAACAGCGACACGGACGGAGAGAACCTCTCGCCGTCAGTATTATAGAGCGCGAGTATTTTGCGGCGGGCGCATGTGTCGCGAATCTTATTGGTCGCTTATGACGTAATGGCTCCGTGTTTCCCTAGCTACGCCCACGTTGTGGAGCAGCACACTGCTAGCTGGCTCTTCTCTCTTTCCGTCCGCTGTAGGTAGCAATGTGAAAACATTTTGTCACTAGTCTTTCATTCGATCTTAGTCTCGCCCCGCAGGCTAATTCACGAGGATGATGGTCGTCTCAAGGCCTGGCCTGATACTGCTCTCCACTGCTCTCTGTGCACTGCTAGCACCCTCTCTCTGTGCACAGGTGATTGTACATTAACTGCTCCATTTATGTAAGCACGCAGATATGAGGTGATTGTTTGCAGAAAATCCCTCCCTGTGAAAGTGACATCTGGGGCATTGCATACGAGGCTAATGCGGAGGAGGGACACGCAGAGCTAGTAATCATAGTTCCTGGTGCCTCTGACGAGGTAGGGTGGGTACATGTCTAGTTTGACTCAGTGGAAAAGTGCCTGTGGTTCTCCTCAGATTGAATCGGTCAGTTCAATCCTCACCTGCACTGATCTGGAGGTAAATGGTACGGGGAAGTCGGTGGTCCAAGTGGATGAGGTAACTCGTGCACCACATTCCGAATCCTTTACTTACATCATTCTGTTTGCTACTGTGTTTTAGGGTGAGAATACGACAGTGTTTCAGATTTCAGTTCCCGAGCCCAAAGATGTGAAAGAGTTTGAGGAACAGGGCGGCTGGATGACTCATCACTGCGTCCTTCAGCTCAGCTACCTCTCTGCAACCGAACCTGATGTTGTCAGTTGTCCTGATCTCTTATTGGACTACCCCTATCATTATTGCAGTTTTGACTTCTCAGAGTGCACATGAGACTGAGTGTGAGGTGAAATTGTTGACTGTCTTTGGCAGAATTTTGCCAAGATGCAGCCTCGAGAGAGGTAGCTATATACTCCGAGTGTAATTAACCCTCGGCGCGCATGCGCAACGAGGGTTACTGTAGTTGGTTTGTCTGTCTGTGTGTGTGTCGACGCTTATTCTGGCACTACAGGCTACGAAGCGGCCCATTAGCGATACCAGCGGCTTCAGAATTACACGAGCCTGAAAAGTAAAGAGCGATTTTCCTGAAACGACTGCGTTCGAGAGCGACAACTGGCACCGTTGAGGACCGTGTTCCGTGGCCCAACCCATCAATAAGCGGTGCGCATGCGTATATTATTATGCTGGCTCACGCCGACCTGATCCGCTTTCTCTGAAAATGATCCGTTGCAGAGCTAGAGCGCTTCCAGCATTGTATGGCATGGCTAGTCGCCATTTTATCGCTGGCGGACAATGCGCATGCGCTTATATTTAGCTCCGCTTGCTCTGTCTATCTTGAAGGCACAAGAAGTCACAACGAATGGCGTGTATCGACTCTCGCGTGCTATCTACTACTGTAGCTAGCCCGTGTCAGACTCTCTGCGAGCTACTTCGCCGAGGGTTTGCACTTTAGTGCTTTTCATTTACACCGTTCCCATCAAGTAATGGGTGGTGGTCTGATGGATAAGCACCCCCTCTCTTGATCGTGAGGTCCCTGGTTCGATCCCGGGTGTGTACGCCTTTTTTACAATGATGTAATAGGAGTGTTGGTATATCCAGGCCAGCCTGAGTGGCTAGGTGGTTAGAGTCGTGGGGACTGACACCATAGGTGCGGGGTTCGTATCCTCGATCCCGCACTAAAATGTCAGATGGTCCAGAGCATTGGCTGGGAACAGCTCTGGTACCTCCCCTTACCCACAAATCTACCACCGGTCATGCTAAGACACTGTGAAAGATCTGAAAAAGGACCCTCAGAACAAAGGACACCTCTCTTTACAATGCAGTCGTTTCTTCTCAATGTTAATATTTTACCAAGAGATGATCTTCAAGGTGTCCCTTATTATTACTGTACGCCTGTAAAAGGGTCCAATATGCCTTTGGTTGTGTCTCATCCCAGGCCAACGATGGTAATGTGGAGATATCGACAGAAGGTCTGATGGATGCAGTGGGCCTCAAACTGTTGTCAACTCGGAGAAGGTTTGAGAATGTCGCCAACTACAGATCATCTTCACACTGACTCTGCCGCTCTGTTGTATTATGCAAGGATTTGCAACATATGTCTGTTTTTTGAACCCATGTACACCTCAATTAATTGCAGTCGGCTATTCTTTGTTCAGCATAATGCATCTGTCATACTTAATGTGTATGGTTTATCCATACTGCATTGTAATTATTACTTGTATATTAATATATTATTCTCGTGCCCGTGCTCAAGAGAGTAAAATGGTGTCAGGTGATAACAAATTATCTTGGTCATGCTGATTTTACAGTCTGTAAGTGCCCTCCTCTAACGGTATGCAAAGAATGCACTTGACTACGTAAATATGTCCTGCCTCCTCTGAGCTGCTGAACATCACATGCACATCAAACATGACTCACTTGCGAGCGCCTTGATGCATGTGTGGAAATCATGACAACCCGCGAGTTCCGCTACACAAGTGTGTCTTGACAACAATAAACTATTATACCGGATAACACTAACACTAATACACGAAACAGAATCACAACTTAATCGCAAAAACAACAACAACTGCTTCCTTCCTCAGTTGGAACATCTGGGTTTCCATGAAGGACAGGCTGGCTAGTGTGGTTCAGAGTTCGAATGGGTACTACGACAGTGCGTTGTCTTTTCTTTTTACTTGTGCTTGTGAAACAGATAAAACAACAAACAATGATGACTATCACAGTAATTCCAGTAGCTGAAATAGCCCCAGTTCTTGAACTTGACCCTTGACTATCTGCATTATAACGACACAATAATTGTTTTGAGTCATGGTAGGCAAAGTTTACCATTATTTTCTTTATTCACACAGAAAGTTGAAGGATCTTTGTAACCTTCAAGGCATATTTTGTCACCACTCACACGGTCACACCGGTAGTTGCCGAGAGAGTTATTCTGTGGGATGCAGAGAGTGTTACATTCGCCAGTTGGATAATAGTTCACATCACAGAGTGTACAATCAGGTTCTAAGAAGTTTCCGTAGCAGTGACAGTCTGTACTGTTATCTTTCGGACAGAGATCCACAGACTCTCCGAGGTAGTTGCACAGTGTTTGTTGAGGCTCTTCGATGCACTCCTTATCACACTGTGGCCCGTATTGATTGGTAGGGCACAGGGATGTGAGGCGAAACTTGACAGCCAGGTTTGCCCTTCCACATGATCCGGAGTAAGTGTTTGTGGGACCAAACTGTGAATCTGCTTTCAATTGTCCACTCAAAGGAATAGTTATCTCATCCACAGTATCATTTTCGGCAAATGTGTCATAATCGGTTATGTTTACACAAAGCTCCAGAGGACTCTGAAAGGACATGGGGTAATAAATTATAGTGGGTATAATGGTCTGC